AAAGAACTAAACTGGCTGTCGCTGGACACTCCAGACGCACCCTTCATCTTTCCAGCCTTGTGTTTAAGAGCTTTTCTGGGAAGTTCCCACTTCCTACCTGAGCAGAATGCTCTCACCGGCTGTTCCCACTTCCTATAACTTTCGATCCAGTACCAGCACTTTATTTAGTCTACCTCAATACAAAAAGAAAGCAGCCGATCCTCCTTTTCCTACAGAGCACCGCAATTATGGAATGACCTCCCGCACACTTTAAAATCGCCAGGCCTAAAGTCCTTTAAGAGATCCCTCTCTACATACCTCAAAACAGAATGCACATGTTGTGGTTGATTATATACTTCCTACCTGTTCTATGTTAAATTTTGAATATATTGTGTTTTAATATTGTTTTTGTATTTTATTCTGGTTCTTGCTAATGTATCAATGCAATGTTTTGTGGACCCAGGACATACTTGAAAACGAGAGAAATCTCAATGTATCTTTCCTGGTAAAATATTTTATAAATAAATAAAATATACACTGGCACATATACACACACACTCAGATACACACAGTGACACACAGATACACACACTGACACACTCAGACACACATACAATTTGACAGACACACATAAAATGACAAACACACATACTCTTTGACAGACACACATACAAACACACTCACATACCCACTGACAAACACACATATACGCTTTGACAGACACACAAACACATACAAACTCTCTAACAGACACACATACAATTTATTGTTTTTTTTTTTTTTAATTACTACACGCAGCCCCCCTACCTTTGGGAGTGCTGGCACAGAGTCTTTATGTCCTTGTGATCCAGTGGGGCTGCTGGGCTGAGCGTGCGGTCCCTGGGATCCAGTGGGGCTGGTGTGCGGTCCCAGGGGTCCAGTGGGGCTTCTGAGCAGTTGGCGTGTGGGCAGCGAGGGAGCAGTGATCTCCCTGCACAGCAGTGCTGCCGGAGCCGGAATATGACGGCGCTCCGGCATCACTAAGAGGTGCGTGCGAGGGAGCTGAGCAGGGGTATCACTGCCCACTGCTCCCTCGCCGCCAGTGGCCATTTTGCTTTTATAAATTTTGTCGGAACATCAATTGGGAAACGCTGCTCTAGAAAAGATGCACTAAGACCAGCTTGAGATCTTAGTGGGGACCCACCGAAGGGCAGGCTATTTCAGCTGCTGCTGTTCTCAGTATTCTCTTGCGCCTGTTTTTTTGCTCTGTAAATTTATTTATTGGAGGAAAAACTGTAATAAAGGATATATATATATATCACATTAATATAAAACCCTCAAAATACTATGGGGTTAAGATCATTTTTTGATTTACATTTTTGAATCCTGGTTAAAATACATAAATCAAAGAATGTAATTTCCTTTGCATTAACTTGGGTAGTTAGGCTAATGGTTCAATTATTATTTAAATATATAGGAACTCATTTAAATCATCCTCTGACAATCTTCATATGAAGAAACGACATATATCATTGATGAAACTATAATAAGACACCAGATCCCATGGTTGAAAAATTCTTTATATTAGGACAATGAAGTGTCTTGGATAATTTTTCCAGTTAAGATATTTTGGCATAAATGTTAAGTATTTGTATTCAGGCTTCCCCAAACTCCGGCCCTCCAGTTGTTGCTAAACTACAACTTTCATGATTCTATGAATGAAATAGGCTGAGAATCATGGGAGTTGTAGTTCAGCAACATCTGGAGTGTTGCTACTCCCGTTTGTCTCCCTACACGTTGTTACCATCAGCTCCACCACGCAGGCTCGCTGCCTAGGTGTTCACTTCTCAGTGGTCTTTCATGCTCCCAACTTGCCTGATTGCAGTCTATAATGAATGTGGCAGCGAGGCTCATCTTCCTGTCCACCCGCACCTCCCTTGCCTCCACCCTCTGTCAGTTCATGCATTGGCTTCCCGTGAGATATAGGGCTCAATATAAAATTCTGGTTCTTGCTTTCAAATCTCTACATAATCCTACTCCCACCTATCTATCCTCCCTAATACACAAGTATGTCCCGTCTAGGCCCCTACGCTCTGCTGAAGACCCACATCTATCCTCTGTTCGTACTTCCACCTACCTGATGCTGGCCTTCAAGACTTCATGCAACTGTCATTAAAAAAAACCCAGTGAATACTATTCTACCAATCTACTTCCCTAATACTTCTCTTACCTTGTGTCACTCAAATCCACTCCCTCTAGCATGTAAGATCATTGAACAGGGCCCTCAACCCCTCTGTTCCTGTGTGTCAAACTTGTCTGGTTACAATTACATGTTTGTTAGTCCACCCATTGTATAGCGCTACGGAATCTGTTGGCACTATATAAATATAATAACAATAATTGTCAGTGTCACAGCAGAAGCTGCATGCCTAAATGTTTGCATACATATTTGTCACTGTATGTACACTGATCAGTCACAACATTAAAACCACCTGCCTAGTATCATGTAAATTTCCATCGTGCTACCAAAACAGCTCTGATGTATTGAGGACTCCACAAGACCTCTCAACGTGGGTCAAAGCAACTTCAAAATAAAATAAAAGTCTTGTGAGGTGTTCCCGGTATGGAGTGGTTAGTACCTCCAAAACGGGTTTTTAACCCCTTCATGTCAGCACTCGTCTATACACAATTACAATCCTTGCAAATGGAATTCGTATATTCCATACTAATTTTGTTTCCAATAATATTGCTACCTTTCAAGTGCCGTCTCTGCTGAGCTCCCCCTGCAAAATACAGCCTCCACACATACAAGCTACACCCCCAAACAGTCACACTGTCCCATCACCACCCCCTCCTCCAACCAGGGCCGGACTGTGAGAAAAATTCGGCCCGGGCATTTTTTTAACACAGCGGCCCACTAAGAAGGGGGCGGGGCAGAGGAGGTGTGTTTTGCCATCACCAATGACAAACACGCCCCCTCTCAAAGTGGTCATGTTGGTTCAATGCTCTTCCAGGGCAGACCATGCGCAGAGCTCTGCTGAAGAGCTCTAGCATGAGAAAAAAGCCCTGTATTTGTTCTGCACAGTGCAAGCAAATTTAATAACATGCTTGCACTGTGTTTCCTTGCAACTTGTCTCTGGTGTCTCTATAAATGGATACCAGGAGACAAAAATGCCAGGAAAGAGTATTTTGCATGTGTTTGGAGCCTGCTTGTGGTATTGTGCGTGTGCAGAGTGAGCTGATTGTGGTGTGGTATTGTGTAATAAGGTTGATTTTAGTCATGTTGTGTTTGTGGTGTAATGTGGTGTAATGTGATGCATATGTGGCTAGAGGCTGTAGAGAATGTGTGTATTGGGGATATAGCAAGTGTGTGAATACAGGCTATAGTGTGTGTGTGTGTGTGTGTGTGTTTATAGGTGATGTAGTGTGTGTTTAGGGGTGTAGTATGTGTTTGCTTACAAGGAATCTAGTGTGTGTATAGGGGATCCAGAGTGTGTATGTTAAGAATGTAGTGTGTGTGTGTGTGTGTGTGTGTGTATGTATATATGTATGTATATATGGAAGTATTGTGTATGTGTGTGGTGCAGTGTGTTGGGGGGGGGGGGTTCTGTGTATATGTGAGGGGTGCAGTATGTGTGTGTGATGGATGCAGTGTGTGAGGGGTGCTCTGTGTGAGGGTGTTGGGTGTGAGAGTCCTGGGTGTAATGGGTGTGAGAGTGCTGTGTGTGCTGGGTGTGAGGGTGTGCTGGGTGTGAGGGTGTGCTGGGTGTGAGAGTGTGCTGGGTGTGAGAGTGCTGGATGTGAGAGGTGTGAGTGCTGGGTGTGATGGGTGTGAGAGTGCTGGGTGTGATAGGTGTGATGGTTGTGAGAGTGCTGGGTGTGATGGGTGTGATAGTGCTGGGTGTGAGAGTGATGGGTGTGAGAGTGCTGGGTGAGAGTGCTGTATAAATGTTAGAATGGATTGTGTGTGTGTAGGGGGGGGGTAAATAAACAAAAAAACTAAGCAGGCATAATGTCCCCCCTCCCTTCTTACCGGCACGCTGGTACCTGGGAGGAGGGGTGGTGGTGTTCCCTGGTGGTCCTCGTGGTGAGTGAACTCCAGCCTGTGGGGCTAGAGTTCACTCTTGCAAGATCTGGTCATTGCCATGGCAACGCGCCGGGTCTCGCGAGAGGAACCCGGCGGAGCTGCAAGTTAGACCTCCGCCGGGTCCTCCTCTCCTGGCTGGTTGTCTCCCTCCCTCTCTCCCTGCTGGCGGCCGCATTTGAGAGCATGTGGGCCGGTGAGGGAGATCTTTGATCTCCCACCGGCCCTTCATGGAAAACAGCTCGGCCGGCGCTCGGATAGCGCCGGCCCTGCATAGACCGGCAGGGAAGATCCTGGGACATTTGCCCGGTGTGCCCGATGGCCAGTCCGGGCCTGGTCTTAATCAAATTTGGAGCACTCAGATCCTTTTCTGTTCTCTTGCAGTATTTGTCTTCCTGGATCCATTGTCAAAGAGGTGAGAATACTATACATTGGTGTGCAGTTACATAGTTACATAGCTGAAAAGAAACTTGCGTCCATCAAGTTCAGCCTTCCTCACATTTGTTTTTGCTGTTAATCCAAAAGAAGGCAAATAAACCAGTCTGGGGGGCGGAGCCTGGCACTCAGGCTGAGCAGCTGTGCTACACTTCAGCTCCTGCTAATTATTGTACTTTTTGGGGGCAAACCCCAAAAAACACGGCACAGTCGCACACCGGAGATGAGAAATCATGTCGGGGATACCTGGGAGAATAGCCCGACACCAAACTCAAGCTTATACCCCACCGGGAACCCGACAAAGAGACCAGAGGCCTACCGGAGATCGAGCGCCTGGAAGACGGCCGCTTCCCGCGCTGACTGACCTGGTCGGGGGATACCTCAGGGGCATCACCTCCTACGCCCCACTCTGGACCGATGGTCATCTTGGTCCACAAAAAGCGACTGGAGAAGCAGCTATAGGCTGAGCCTACAACCCGAGGAAACACAGCACCAGGACAGGCGAAGACAAGGAGCAACTAAAATGGCGACAGCAAGCGCAGCAGGTGAAACACCTGAACACCACACAGACATGCCAGACTATGAAGCCAAACTCACCGCTATCTTCGAAGCCTTCTGGGCACGGCTGGAGCACCGGGCACGGCTGAATAAACCGAGCACACGCTGGAGCAACAAGAAACCTAAGTAACACAGCCGCCAGCGCCTTACTCATAAACAACATAGGGCCCCAGGATGGCGCCGCAGGAGGAGAGACCCTCTGCCTGCAGGCAAAATCATGGGAGGGAATCAAGCACCAGAGCACAGCCACAGAGTGCTGGGGACCCCTCATGCACCCAGTAGCTATCCCCACTCTTCTTCCGAGCAGGGAGCCCACCAGAGGGTAACTCCTCACCGCCACCCATACACCCAGGGGAACAACCAGAATCCGGCAAAACCTTGGGCCCACGACCCTGAGGATGGGGTCAATGGACTTGTGGCAAGGGCCCCCGCTAAGGCCTCGGGCCGAAGACACAGGACACTCAAGCGACATGGAACTAGGAGGTTCCCCCGGGGAACCACAACACAGAGGGCCAAGCACCCGGCAGGTCAAAGCATACACCCTAGAGAAATAGGCCCAACCCCCAATAGAGAGACGGACCAAAGAGGCAGCCCCCCACAACCAAGTGGACTGGTCCCCGCATACTGCAGCACGATTCCTCCATGTGGGGTGGGCTGAATAAATGCATGGACGTTTGCAGCACTCGATGCCCTGGACCGCTCTAAGTAAACTAGAGAGACACACTGTCATACCCTGAGGGTTTCACCCATAAATGTTTCCTTTCATATGCACCGTAATATTTTCTACAGTTAATACTAATATAGCAAATTGAATGGCTGGGTGTAACACTTATTTTAATTGGAACTCAACTGCAGAATTTTCTAATTGCAGTAACTATTAGTTTCACCTCCTTTTATATTGAAATGAAGGAGTAGTTACTGTCACTTTAATTACACATGTAGGATGTTAATTGTGAGTAAAGTATAAGAATCTGTTGATTTGCACAAGCCACTTAATTCCTTTTTTTGGAAATAATCCAGAGTTAGATTCCAGATTAATTTAAGAAGGAATTTTATAATAAAGACTATAAATGAAGCAGGAAAAGTTGTAATTATAATTGACTTGGTTATTGGAGGAAGAGTTAGCGTTATTAGCAGATCCTTATGAATAAGGAGAATAAATTGAGAGAATGACACAGTTAACTGTCTATGATTTGTAACAGAGAGTGGCTTGATTGGAGAAAAGTTACTTAACTTAAAAGGCAGTTTCTGGAACTGAAGGGTTAATTTCACCCGATGGGTTGAGAAGGTAGAAGTCCGTTTAGCAAGCCGTGGTCTAGGAGTGGAGAAGGTGGAAGTCCGTTTTAGCAAGCCAGGTCTGGGAGTGGAGAAAGTAGGAGTCCGTTTTAGCAAGCCGGGTCTGGGAGTGGAGAAGGTAGGAGTCCGTTTTAGTGAGCCGAGGTAAGGAGTGGAGAAGGTAGAAGTCCGTTTTAGCAAGCCGAGGTCTGATACAGGCAGGAACGGGGTAAAGCAGCTGATCACTTTTTCAGGTACCTGTGCAATAATCCAGCGTTTTGAATCTGGCGCGGTCTTCCTAAGTATCGTGGAAGGACCGCGTCAGAGAAAGGGGCGGGGCTAAGCGCCGTGAACCCGGAAGTGGGTTCTTACGGCAGAATGCATGTCAGGCTATACCTGACAGTACCCCCTTGTCATGGGGCATCCTCTGGATGCACTTTATTTCGGTTTGGAGGGATAGCGTTTGTGAAATGCAGCAACTAACCTCTTTGCATGTACATTAGATGAATCTTCCCAAGTGTCTTCATCAACACCATAACCTTTCCATCTAATAAGATATTGTAAGGAGCCACGGTGGACACGTGAATCCAAAATTTTATGTATTTCATATTCCTCTTCACCTTGGACAATGATAGGTTCAGGAGTTGTTACTATATCCCTATTGAAAGGATCAGGGATGTGTGGTTTAAGCAAAGAGACATGGAATACAGGATGAAGTTTAAAACTTGGAGGGAGTTCTAGTTTAACAACGTTATCATTAATGACCGATAATTACTTGAAAGGGACCAAGAAAAAGAGAGCTTAATTTCTTTGAAGGATGGTTTGTGGTAATATTCCTCGAAGAAAGCCAGACTAGATCCCCTACTTTGTAAGGAGGGGGAATTCTTCTTTTATTGTCAAAAAACTTTTTCTGGTTATTTTGGGCGAGTTGAAGATTTTCCCGTAATTTGAGAAATAGAGAGGACATAAATTCGTTTTTTGATGTAACAGTAGGATTGGATGAAATATTATTTTGGATGGGAAATGAAGACGGATGGAACCCATAGTTCGAGAAGAAAGGAGTCTTTTTCGTACTAGAATGAATAGTATTGTTGTAAGAGAATTCGGCCATAGGTAACCATGTGGTCCAGTCATCTTGTAGGTATGAACAATAACATCGAAGATACTGTTCCAAACATTGATTAACCCTCTCTGTTTGCCCATTAGTTTGGGGATGATAGGCGGATGAGAGTTTGCGTTGAATTTGAAGGGAGAGACACATCTCTTTCCAGAATTTGGAGGTAAATTGTGTCCCTCTATCAGAAATAATTTCTTCAGGAAGACCATGAAGTTTTACAATATTATCTATAAAGACTTTAGACAATTCTACGGAGGAGGGTAATTTCTTTAAAGAGATAAAATGGGCCATTTTTGTGAAGCGGTCCACAACGACAAGAATAGTGGTGAAAGGCTGAGATGGTGGAAGATCCACGAGAAAATCCATAGAAATGGATTGCCAAGGTTTTTCTGGAATAGGTAAGTTAAGTAGTAATCCAAAAGGTTGATTATGTTCGGGTTTGGACCTTTGACAGATAGGGCAAGTTTTGACATATAATTCAATGGTTCTATCCTGGCGAGGCCACCAATAATATCGTGAAGTTAGTTCAAGAGTTTTTTTAATCCCAGGATGTCCAGCTAGTGGTGAGTCATGAACCATTTTAAGTAATTTATTCCTAAAAATAGGAGGGATATAAATTCTATTTTTAAAATAAAATATACCATCCTTTTTTGTTAATATAGGTGTGTTGGGAAGTTCAAGATCCTTTTGATTCAAATTCTTTATGTCATCATGAAGAGAGGAAAGGATTCCAATTGTTTTGTTAAGAGGATAATCATCAATAGAAGTTTTATGAGGAATTCGGGAGAGGGCGTCAGCCTTTTGATTTCTAGTTCCAGGTCTGTATACTAATTGGAAGTTAAAGTGGTTAAAAAAGAGGTTCCATCTAACTTGTCTAGCTGTAAGGGTTTTGTTAGTATAGAGATATTCAAGATTTTTATGATCAGTATAAACAACTATAGGGTGTTTTGTATCTTCAAGAAGATGACGCCAATTTTCAAAGGCAGCTTTAACACTTAAAGGGCCACTATAGTGCCAGGAAAACATACTCGTTTTCCTGGCACTATAGTGCCCTGAGGGTGCCCCCACCCTCAAGGACCCCCTCCTGCCCGGCTCTGGAAAGGGGAAAGGGGTTAAAACTTACCTTTTTCCAGCGCTGGGCGGAGAGCTCTCTGCCTCCTCTCTTCCTCCGTTACGCCCCGCCGGCTGAATGCGCACGCGCGGCAAGAGCTGCACGCGCATTCAGCCGGTCTCATAGGAAAGCATTTACAATGCTTTCCTATGGACGCTGGCGTGCTCTCACTGTGAAAATCACAGTGAGAAGCACGCAAGCGCCTCTAGTGGCTGTCAATGAGACAGCCACTAGAGGGAATAGGGGAAGGCTTAACCCATTGATAAACATAGCAGTTTCTCTGAAACTGCTATGTTTATTAAAAAATGGGTTAACCCTAGCTGGACCAGGCACCCAGACCACTTCATTAAGCTGAAGTGGTCTGGGTGCCTAGAGTGGTCCTTTAACAATTCTTTTTCACCAATAGGATAATTTTTCTCAGCAGAGCTCAAGGATCTTGAAAAGAAGGCAACTGGATGAAGTGGATCTTGAGGTGTCTTTTGTTGAGAAAGAACTGCTCCGATAGCTGTATCTGATGCATCTACTTCAAGAACATATAAGAATGTTGGATTAGGTAGTTGCAGAATAGGTGCAGTTGTAAATCTTTTTTTTAATTCAGTGAAGGCTTTTTGTGCATCTTTATTCCAATTAAAAGGACGTTTACTACTGTTAAGGAGATTAAGTGGATGTGATACATCTGAGTAGTTTCTAATAAATTTTCTATAGAAATTTGCAAATCCAAGAAATCGTTGTAATTCTTTTGTAGTAGTAGGAACGGGCCAGTTAATAATACATTCAATTTTGGAATTATCCATTTTTAAAGAATGAGGTGAAATAATGTATCCTAGAAAAGATAATTCAGTAACCTCAAAAAGGCATTTCTCGGGTTTAGTGTATAATTTGTGAGTTCTCAATCTAGATAGAACCCATCTTACATGCTTCCTATGTTCATCCAAATTGTTAGAATATATTAAGATATCATCTAAATAGATAATAACACATACATCCAAAAGATCTCTAAAGATATCATTTATAAAATGTTGAAATTTTGCAGGGGCATTACAAAGCCCAAAAGGCATCACAAGATATTCGTAGAGACCATATCTTGTTCGGAAAGCGGTCTTCCATTCATCATCCTGTTTTATTCTAATGAGGTTATAAGCGCCTCGAAGGTCGAGATTTAGTGAATATAGTTGCGGTTCTTAATCTTTCAATTAATTCATTTATTAGCGGAAGAGGATAACGGTTTTTGATTGTTATTTTATTTAAGGCTCTGTAATCTATAATGGGACGGATGGTTTGATCTTTATTCCTCACGAAGAATATACTAGAAGCAGCCGGGGACGTCGAGGGTCTGATGAACCCTTTGCGTAAGTTTTCATTAAGATATTCTTTTAAGGTTTCTAATTCTTTTTCAGAAAGTGGGTAAATGTGGCCATAAGGAATAGGAGCTCCGGGTATTAGATCTATTGGGCAATCATATACCCGATGAGGTGGAAGTGTTTCTGCTTCTTTTTTACAAAAGACATCTGCAAAATCGGAGTAGAATGTAGGTATAACTGGTTCTTTAGTAATTTGGAGAATAGGAACATGTTGTAAGCACGTTTTTTTACAAAAATCAGAGGAGAAAGAAATGGTGAAGGG